TGTTTACTTCATCATGTTATTTCATTCTCTGATTTGTCTTCCTTTTAATTTTGTTTTTCTTTCTTATTTTTAAAAAATATTTCCTCTCTGGTATTTCTTTCTCCCTTATTTTTAGGATTTGTTTACTTCTCTCTTCTAACTCATGATTTATCATGCATTCATTCATATATTTATTCATTTATTTTTAAACCTTTTTCTCATTGTTCCTTTGTCTACATCCTTCCTTCATCATTTTCTCCCGTATCCCTTGTTACAACCACTACTTTTTGTGCCTCTTTCTGTAACCTGGGCAGTAGTGGGGCTGCACACAGCTGCCTCTTCAGGGCTCCATGCTGGGATGTGGCGTGGCTGGGGTGGGGATGGCTGAAGTATGACAGATCATGTGCCTATGTGTGGGTTTGTCAGAGGTAAGGCCGGCATGTCCTCACACCAGGATATGGCAGAGATGTGGTAGATCGTGTCCCCACATAGAGTATGGCAGCACTCTGTTTCCATGCAGGAGGCAGCATGGTAGAGGTGTGGTGGGTCACAGACCCTCCTGGGGCTCTGGGCTGTAAAGTAGGGAATCCACCATATTTATCACCTTGTTTTCTTCAAGTGTCTGAGAATTGCTTAGGACACTATATTTATCTTTCTCAGACCCTCATGGGCTATCCAGCAACAATGGAATAACCTATTTGAACTAAGCATAATTGGGATGGAGGGAGATTGTTTTCCCTTCTGTGGTTTTGAAAGACATATCATTCTAGGCTGCTGGAACCAGAAAGACTTCACCTGTCTGTCTTCCACACCATGTTGTTTATGATCTGAAATGTTGAATCTCATCAGTTCTTTGCTTAAAGAAATTCAGTGGCTCCACTACTTATAGAATAAAGAAGATTTTTTCACATGTGGCTTTCAAAGCTTTTACAGATGATTCCCCATGTGTCTCATTAGCCAATGCTTAGATTCTTGCATTCTACAATTCTAGGCATCCTCCACTCCTTATCCTCCCCAACTATGCCTCTATCTATGCATCTGCCTAAAATGTTCTTCTCCTCACTTCATTCACCAAACTCCTATTGGAACTTCAGGACCCAGATTAGAGATCACTTCATTTGTGGAGCTTTCCTTAGCTCCTCTGGGCAGTTATTCATTCTCTCATCTGTTCTCATCTGTCATGGCAATCATTCATACCTTTATCATAACTCTTGTCTTCCACATTGTAGTGTAGTAACCTGCAGGTCTGTACTTGACTGTATCTCCTTCTATCTGGTCATGAGCTTCAAAAGGTTAGTGATCATAACTTGGTTAACATTTTTTTTAAGTCTGTTGGGAGAGAGGGAGAGAGGGAGAGAAGGTATATTTACAGAAGAGCCTCTTGTGCAGAGCTGAGTTACTAAACATTATAGGCAAAGAAAGCAGCAAGAGAGCCAGAACCCTTTAACAGCTGTTTAATTTGAAAATGCTGCAAAATGGTTACCTCTGATACATTTCAGAACTTGGCAAATGGCAAAATAGTAAAGTGTGAGCATCCTACCAGAAAGTGTCAACATAATTTACATAATTATAGAAAACATTTAGTAACTAATGACATATAACTATATATCGGTGTCAGGAGCAGTAATATAAATTAGAGAGTTCTTTGAAAGTACACTGAAAATGTCGAAATTCTTATTGTTTTTTTACTTAGAACACCTAAAGAAAACATAGACTTGGGACTAACTTTGCATGAGAGGAAGTGTATTCTGTGAATTTAGAAAAAGAAAAGAATAAAGTCATCAACACAATATTCAGAATAGAAATGAGGTGATTTTGAAGATTTTTTCAGTGTAATTAAAGTTTCATCAAGGAAAGTAACAGTTAAAATGAAGAAAGATTTCTAAACTTACTCTATCACATATGACATATCTTCTATTAACTCAGATCAAATGATAAATAGCTTAGGTTATGATGGGAAGATATTTGTAGCCATTACATTTATATATTTTTTTAAAAATTATCTTCAACTTTATGGCAGAGACATGTTCCCATATCCCATGCATGTTAAGGCACAAAGTCAGAATGCTCAGAGTTAAATTTCCATGAAAATATATTTCGGGGCTTCTTTTTACTGGATGGCTTCCATTTTGCAATAGCGCATGACATCAGTGAATTCAGAATTACCCACTACTTGCTATAACTAAATATGGGTGCAAGTGCTAACATATAGCAGCCTTGCTGTACATTCCATCAGCTCCCCCGTGGGAGGACAATGGAAGGGAGCTGGTGACATCTTTCTTCTCCTAACAAAGAGCCCACAATGCAAATTCTCATGTTTCTCGCCTATCTAGATGGATTTCTCCTTTCGCAGTCTGCCAGCCACAGTGTGGAGGGGAAAGAGCTTGGCCAGGTGAAAGATGAGACATATTTGCTGGGCACTGGGCACATTAAGTATGTCACAGATATGTTATATGTATAATCTTCATACAGGTATGATTAGTCCCATTTTATCAATAAGGACACTGAGACTCTGGGAAGTTTAGTGAATTCCCTAAAGTCACACATTATCAAGTGACAGAGCCAAGGTTTGAGCCCCTGTGTGTTTGGCTCTAAAATCACTTTGCCAGGTTGTCTCCCTTATAGCTAATCCCAGACAAAGCTATGACATAGCTAAGGATTGGGATTGACACCCCTACCCCCACTTTCTCATTTCATTGCCTACACTCTCCTTTAAGGACTTTCTGTATCAGCTCCACTTAACCCAACCCTTCTCAGGGCATAGTACACTACCACTACCAAGACTAGTATTTCTACTTCTACTACTACTGCCATTACTGGTAATAATAATAACAGTTAACATAACCTCAACAATAATATCCCTGCTGACATTTCTTCAGCTTTTATGAGTCAGGCATAATGCCAAATACATTACATAGATTACCTTATGTAATGGTGCTATTAATATCTTCATTTGTACATGAGGAAACTGAAGCTTGGAGAGGTTAGGTAATTTGCCCTTCTGATGTTCCTGGCTGCCTATAGCCCCTAAACAGTGTGCCATCCTGTTCAGATACCCATGGTTTTAATCGCCCTCCTTCCTATCCTCCCCATCTACCTTGTCATGACAAGTTTACCAAGTTAGATCCTTTTCCTCTCCTAAAAAGTAGCTATCTGATTAACAGGTCCATAATAAGTAGATAGTATTTTAACATTTGCACTTTCTATAATATGTCTTTCAGAGGTTTTACTTTAAACAGACAATAATGATGATTTCTAGTAATTGGGCAAGCTAATGGCCTTCAAATTGACTTTAGTGTGGTCCCATTGTGACCCTGAGGTTTATGCCGCTGTTGGAGGGTGGGAGAGGTTGGCAGCAGGGGAGAGAGAGGTCAGTTATGAAGTCAGGGGTGAAGAAAGCCTGCAGGGAGGCAAAGGCTGCGAAGGTCACTGGGGGCCGCCATCTGGCCACCGGGCTCCTGAGGGTATGTGGCTCTGTCCTGCTTCACACATTCCTACCATCAGTCTGATGTACACCCACATCATATTTTGCAGTTCTGTTCCATAAGGAACTAGTGGAACTTTATTAACTTCAGCTTGTCACAGAGGTGCTCATCTGGCTAATGAGGGCAGCATTATCTGCCTGCATTATTGGAGGTACGATTAGGATGGCCTACTAACAACTAAATGAGAACCCTCTGGCTTTTCCAGGTAACGATGATTCAGAGTTTCTGAGAAGTCCCATAGAGTCTGGAAGTCACCTCCTATCCTTTTGGGATACAGGCAGGGTATAGCTTTGATTAGTCAAC